CCCCCCCCCGCAGGGAGCCCAGGGATCCACCTGTCCCCCCCCCCCGCAGGGAGCCCAGGGATCCAGAGGGAGAGAAAGCCTGATGCTGGGTCCCGGGCTTGCATGCCGTCTCCTTCCTCAGGGCATGCTTGGAACTGCAGCTGCCAGGAACCCTCTATCTCCCGCCCCCTCTCCCCCAGCGGTGTCTTCTATGTGCGAGCTAGACTCTGCCGGGTCCAGCAGCCCCTAGTGGCGGCCAGCAGGACTGCAACCCATTTTTGGGGGTGGGAGAAAATTCTATGTGCACGTTAATGCAAAATTCTGCATTGGACAGTGGCACAGAATTCCCCCAGGAGTAATATGCAAACAGTATTTTTCTGAAAGAAAACCCTCATGTGTCTACACAAAAAGGGATGAATTAGCATCTCAAATCAAACAACTGAAAAGATGAATAATGTCTGCCAAATACCTGTTTGTGAATTTCACACCATTCTTCTGGGTATCTAAGATCTTATATTTTGCATTGTTCCGAAGGACTTTTTCTTCCCGGCAGGTAATTCGGAAGTAATGTCCTAACTGTGAATTGGAGTCCAATTTGATGTTCTTGCCAGCTTCCAAGCCTTTTCAATAGGAGGGAGGTGGGGGAGGAAAAGAGAAATGAATGATTTCACCATTAGAAATACATGTCACCATATTATCCCTATTCTCTGAATGCTGCCTGTCAGCTGGATTGCCATTTAAATTATACTGGGCACACCAAGTTTAATGTTCTTGTCTTTGGTGCTATAGAACTTTGTTCGGAAATGTATTGCTCACCTCCACCATTAACTCAGTAAACCATCAAATGGCACATTTATCTAACTCAAAGCTCCATCTTGCTGCTGGATACAAAATAAGCATCACATCATAGAATCATAGGCTGGAAGGGACTTCAAGAGGTCATCTAGTCCAGTCCCCTATACTCATGGCAGGACTAAGTATTATCTAGACCGGGGGTGGGCAAACTTTTTGGGCCGAGGGCCACATCTGGGTGGGGAAATTGTATGCAGGGCTGGGGCAGGGCGTTTCGGTGCGGGAGGGAGTGCGGGGTGTGGGACGGGGTGCGGTGTGCAGGAAGGGGCTCAGGGCAAGGGATTGGGGCAGAGAAGGAGTGCGGGGCGGGGTGCGGTGTGCAGGAAGGGGCTCAGGGCAAGGGATTGGGGCAGAGAAGGAGTGCGGGGTGTATGAGGAGGCTCAGGGAAGGGGGTTGGGGTGCAGGAGGGGTGCGGAGTGCAGGAGGGGGCTCAGGGCAGGGGTGCGGACTGCGGGAGGGGGCTCAGGGCAGGGGTTGGGGTGCAGGAGATGTGCGGGGTGCGGCAGGGAGTTGGGGTGCACGGTGCAGCAGGGAGCTCAGGGCAGGGGGTTGGGGTGCAGAAGAGGTGCGCGGTGTACAAGGGGGCTCAGGGCAGGGAGTTGGGATGCAGGAGGGGTGCGAGCTCCGGCCTGGCGCCGCTTGCCTAAAGCGGCTCCGGGGTGCCAGCAGCACACACCAGGGCAGGCTCCCTGCCTGCCTGCCCTGTTCCCGGCCCTGTGCCGCTCAAGGAAGTGCTGCGGCCGCTGGGGGAGGGGTGGGCGGAGGGCTCTGCGTGCGCTGCCCTTGCCAGTGCCTCCAGTACCTTCCCCGAAGCTCCCATTGGCCGCGGTTCCCCATTCCCATCCAATGGGAGCTGCGGGGGGCGGTGCCTGGAGGCAAGGGCAATGCATGTGCAGCCCTCTGCCCCCCCGCCCGGGCCCGGTTCTGAGAGTGGCACCGGGCCCGCGGCGCCACGGGGGGCAATCCCGCAGGCCAGATCCAAAGCCCTGAGGGGCTGGATCCGGCCCGCGGGCCGTAGTTTGCCCACCCCTGATCTAGACCATTCCTGACTGGAGTTTGTCCAACTTGCTCTTAAAAATCCCCAATGATGGAGATTGTACAACCTCCCAAGGCAAATTATTCCAGCGCTTAACTGCCCTGACAGTTAGGAAGTTTTTCCTAATGTCCAACCTAAACCTCCCTTGCTGCAACTTAAGCCCATTGCTTCTTGTCCTATCCTCAGTGATTAAGAACAACAATTTTTCTCCCTCCTCACTCCTCCTTCCATATTCAGCTAAGACTAAATATGATGTGTACAAAGTAAATTACAAGTATTGTCTATATAACTATCAATATAGAGCAGCGGTTCTCAAACTGTGGGTCAGGACCCCAAAGTGGGTGGCGAACCCATTTGAATGGGGTCACCAGGGCTGGCTTAGATTTGCTGGGGTCTGGGGCTGAAGCCGAAGCCTGAGCCCCTCTGACTGAGGCCAAAGCTGAAGCCTGGGAGCTTCAGCACTAGGCGGTGGGACTCAGGTTACAGACCCCCTGCCTAGGGCTGAAGCCCTTGGGCTTTGGCTTTGCGTCCTCCCCGACCAAGGCAGGAGGGGTTCAGGTGGGCTCAGATTTCAGTTCCCCCTCATGGGGTCCTGTAGTAATTTTTGTTGTCAGAAAGGGGTCACGGTGCAATGACGTTTGAGAACCCCTGATACAGAGCTAAGCTCATTTGTATTAAAAGAACTGCATATCTCAATTGATACATGCTTCTGCAGGTGGAAACCCCAGTTCCAGTCCTAGCCAATCAAGTCTTTTGCTCCCTTTCATCCAGGTTATTTTGTTTAGAAGCACAAAAGTATAAACAAGTTTGGTTTACTTGTGTCCCAAAAACCAATCAAAGCAGCCAGAAGTAAGTTTAGCACCATTTTTGGAATACAGCAAACTAAGCAGACTTCCATTCACTGAAGTAGTTGACGAACTAGGTGATCTGTAAAGAAAAACTGAATTGTGTAGGGTACATCTGGAACCTCCAGAATAAGAAGAAGCAGGGTCACATGAGCAAAACCATAATGTAAATAAAAAACTGTACTTTAGATTAATTTATTTTGTCAGAGTTGCCAGTTTTGCTTACCACTTTATTTTCATTAAAAGAGATTATGTGAATCATGATCAATGTGAGATTTGCACTGACTGTACCACACAAGAAGTGGTAGTTTTAAATGTTTAATTCTGCTTAATAGAATTCTGTATTCCATTTAATACAGAATATGCACCTTCATGCCACAAAAAATGGGCATGTCCAGAATGGACACCAATATGAATAGATAAGGACAGGATATTTGACTACACATTCCCCAAGGGTCTCAATAAAAATAAAATCAGTGGAGAAGGCTAGTCACAGTTACAGTAAATAAATTCTGTACAACCCTGTAATAGGTATGCAGCAACTGGTGAAACATTCTGAAACACCACCTTTCACAAAAAGCAATTTGAGCATAAAGCTGTTTGTTTCTCTCCACGTACCATACTAAATAACACCATTAAAATCATCCAGCAGTCTCACAAATAATTAAACTAAAAATAAAAATACCTAACTCTTATATGGTCAGTAGATCTCACAGCACTTTATAAAGAAAGTATTAAAGGGATTTTTACCCCACCTAGTTCTCTGGCTGCAGTCTTTAGAAGAGACTGCATGCTCTCCTCTAGTTTGTTCATCTTCTCTCTCAACTCGGTCAGATTAGGATCAAAAGAAGCCTTCACAAGGAATTCATGATTTTCCACCTATGAAAAGAAGAATGAGAATGAATATAACTATAGTAACATTTGGATTGCTGCATACATTAGTCATTTAGTTTGATTTGGTTTAATAGTTTTTGTACATCATTTCATAATTCAGTATTGTTTGTGTCAGATGATATTCTAGAGCTAGAGAGAGTTTTGCTGAATCACACACAAAGCCTGGTAGCAACTCCTCCTCTGGCTGGACACTCCGCAGGCTGCTGTGTTTGAAGCTCACCTCACTGGGTCCCATGTACGCTAAGCTTTTTGAGTCTAAAACAGATTCTAAGCACTATACCTTGCTAGAGTGTCCCTCCTGAGACCTGACACCTTGTGGTCCAACTGCCTAGCCCCTGGGACTAGTGTGGTCTCATCAGACTTCCCCATAGCTTAAATACACCTTTTCCCAGAACTCCAGCCTCATGGGAACTCTGGGCTTACAGTTACCCCTTTAGGGATATGCAGTGTTCCGCATTTTCAGTTTTTACCTATTTTCACTGATAAATTACCAGTTTTTTTTATTAAAGGAGTTCAGTTTTTACTGATTTACACCTGTTTATCAATCCACTCAGTATTTTTTTCAGGTACTTATTTTTGTTAAACACTGCTTTACACACTTGTTGTGTCCGGCAGCTCTGCAACTGAAGCGGTTCCAACATAAAGCACAGAACACACACAAAGTGGTGGTTGGAAAAAACGAACAAACAACATTAATACTGCACTCTGATTGGCTCACAAGGAGACGCTACTCTGCTATTTCTTTGCATTCATTTAGTGCGGTACTGAATTTAAACAAGAAATCCTCCACAGATAAAGATAAGGTAAAAGGTAAACATAGGGCGAAAACACAAATCTATGCCTGAATACCAACAAGAAAATCAGTGCTTAGAAATTTTCAAGAAAAGTAAAGACAGGAACGAAGAGAATGCATCGCACTGCAAGTACTACAGCATTGAGATCAGTGCTCGCGCTGACAGAATAAAGGAGCATGTCGAAAGCAAGAGACAAGAAGCTTAAAGAAGAAAGTGAGCTTCAGAATAAACAATATCAGAATCTTTCACCAGGGTTTTAACGAAAGAGGACCCAGCACGATTGTGTCAATGAATTTGTGCATCCTCTTTGTTTCGCCGGACAACCGCTGTTAATTGCAGTGGGGCCTATTGTTGTACAAAGTCACAATAGTGTCCAGCAGCAAAAACCCTTCCTAATGCAGACAACCTCACTCATAAGTATCTGAAAGAAAATGATGACACTTTAGTATCTAAACTGATGGAATAATTGTCTAGTTTGATGCTTGGAACTGTCTGATTCTTGGCCTTTTGTTTTTGTTTCTTGATTTCCAAGCAAATAAACCCTGCATTGTTTTGTGCTGATGCGGCATTCGTCCCATCTGCTGACACCCGTGTTGTTGACGCAGCAATAATTGACATGTTTGAGATGTACCAACTAACTTGGGAAAACGTGGCCACAACTAACACAGATTCTGCTTCGTACATAACTAAGTTTGCACAGGAGATTAAACTCAATCAGAAGCCGGAGCTGCTACATATTAGCTGTCCTGCTCATCTGATTCACTTTGCGCTGTCAGCAGCTACTGGGACAGAAGAAATTAAAGAAGTAAAATCTTGCATCACTGCATTCAGGGCTATTTTTAAGCATTCAAATAAGTTGAAGGCTTTGTTTTACATAGTGCGAGATGAGTGAAGAGCTAACTGCCCATTACCTACCTCTGTTGTGCCACATCGGTGGATGAGCTTGTACTTCACTGCCTGTCACGTAAATAACACATGGACTGTGCTAATGCATCTCCTGTGTTTGTTGGTTCTAAAGCAGAAACTCTGAAAAGACTGGCAAATAACCAAAATGACTGCCTGGGTGCACAGAATCTGGCGATGCTCATTGTTGAAAACTTGGAATCATCACGTGACACACACAAAACACTGAAGTTTTCTCCGACTACTGCCAACACATTTGCCAATACAGACATTTGCCAAATCCTGACAACCAAAATCTCAGCTGAATTGAGCACAAAAGCTACAGGAGAAACATACGGCGAGAAAACCCAGTTGTTTCTGGAAATTCTTCTGACCCCAGAACACAAAAAATACCAAAAATTGTTCAAAACATTCAACGCTATGCTCAGCAAGAAATGGGAGACAACTGTGGTCTGTAATCTGAACCCCGAAGTGTTTGGTGCTGAAGATTCTTTTTGGAATGTCTTTTTGGAATGCACCTCTTCCTCAAGGTGAATTTTGCAGCAGACTACAACCGTTATGCCAGAGTGTTTCAACCATTTGCCACTAAACATGAAATTTCAAATTTGAAACGGGAATTTATTACTTACATGAACATGCCTATCCCTGACAATGTGAAACTGGATGTGCTGGCTTTCTGGAACAGTCATCAAGACACACTTCCCAACTTCAGCAAAGTGGCATGGTGAGCTTTAAGGGCACCCTCTGGATCTATTGATGCAGAGCGCTTATTTTCAAAGTTGGACTACCTCCAAGACAGCAAGAGGCTCAACATGAGTGAGGATACTTTGAAGAAAATTATGCGGGAGTACACAAACCACGATTTTCTGAAAAAAACTACTAGCTCGGAGAGAAAAAAGACCTTTGTACATAAAAATAATTTTCAATTATACTGTAGAGTAAACTGTGTATATTATGCGACAGAGTCCTGTGGCACCTTATAGACTAACAGACGTATTGGAGCATGAGCATAAGCTTTCGTGGGTGAATACTCACTTTGTCTGTTAGTCTATTTGAATATTTATTTGCTTGCAGATAGCTCAGTAGTAATAAACAAACCCGTTTGTTGGAGGGGGATGAAATGACTGTTACATGATTCTCAAACAATCTGCATAGCCTCTTAGCTACATAAACCTAGCAGGCAGACCACAAAGGGATGGGGTGTTCTAAAACAGCAACCCTTTTGGAAATAGGCAAGTGCTTCAGTGCAAGCTTCTAACAATTAAATACACTCTGTAGGGTTATGAAAGGCAGCCTACAGTGCATTTTCCAAAATCTTTTCCAATTTCAACCCAATTTTCCTTAAATCAGGTATACAGTACACAGGTTTCCCTGCAGGCAGGTTAAACAATTTTAGAGATACAGTTTGATTAACTCATTACCTTATCGTTTCCTCCTTCATGCGTTTCTTTTACCTCATTAATTGGTTTACATGTGACACCATCAGTATGGACACTCACTCAAGATGTCCTAATAAGCAACAGTGCTCAAGCAGAACAATTGGACAGGTAGCCTACACTATCCTGACTATTGTTTTTCCACCCCCAGATCTGAAAGCTGTGCACCAAGAAAGCCTTCCTGCATGGAACTTGGTGAAAAAATCCTGCATCTGGATTGACTATCACCTGCCTGACATATCAAGAAGACTGATCCATTCACCTACAAGAACGGCAGCCACATCACAGAAACTAATTTCACACAGACCAAACAGCTACGAGACGCTACAGATTCTCATTCCCTACCAACCAGGACTACACACATACTCACAAACTAAAAGTTGAAAGGCTCCCATGTTCCATTTTAAGCCAAATCCAGTTCCCCCCTTCCGTTCCAAAGCCAGTAATTACAAAATTGAAAACAAGTTTTCAGCATTTATATCCATAGACACCTACCAATGTGTATCTCAGTTTGCACTGCTTCCAGTAACAGTCTGTAGGAGCCAGCAAATTGATTGCCTATTCCAACTCCTGTAAACAGATCTGTTATCACCTGTGCCACGTTCAAGTATTTGAAGACTATATTCAATTAGTCTATCCTTCACTAGCAGATGTTGAAATAGAACTGTTACATTTGACCACATTCTACAAGGTAAGCTGATTAAGCTAATACTTAACGTTTTATAAACTTTAACTGTGAAAATTTAACTGATTAGATGTTGCAGCTTATTAAAAAACAAAAACACAAAGGAGTTCCTAAATTATTTGGTTAAAAAAAAAAAAATCACATCTGCCATTCCAGATAAAACTTCTCAGAATAATAAAATAATCATTTTATTATCCCAAATAGAACACTGGAGAGTTTAAAACTTTATTTTTTACAAATTGTAGCCCTAATTGTATTTAGAAAAGTTGCCCAAAACAGAAGCTATTCTCTTCTCCTCCACAAAGTCATCTCTTAATTCTATGTGCAGCTGCCAATCTGGTGTGAGAAATTTTAAAAAGAACATGTGGAATTGTGAACATATGGGTTCCCAATAGTTTTCAGACATTAAAAGGCTTTTTTATGGCAACATTCTGCCATATGACTATGGAAAAATCCACCAGGAGAACCTAGGAAAACACTGAAGGACTGGATTTATTCCCTCCTGGGCTTCCAGTAAGAGCAGGAATAAAAAGCCAGTCACCATCACCATTGCACACATTTTCAACTTTAAGAGCACGTCAATAATTTTTTCATTGCTGAAACTGATACTGAATTGTAAAAATAAAGGACTCTCCAATTCCAATATAGCCGAATGTCCACCTGGCTTCAGAGATTAAGGAGTACAAACATGCAGCTACTTTCAATGGAATCTGCCATAACAGGTCAAAGATTTCGATCTCCATTCTGGGCATGAAACAGTAGATGAGCAACAGTCATGAACTGACAGATTGCTGTATCAAACACACACCAGGGCATTACCTTAGACCATCCCGTGCTTTGCTGAACATTGGGCTACCCACATTTGCCATCTTTGCCTGTCAACTGCCCTTCTCTCTAAATCTTCCCATTTCATGTTGAGGTACTTGATGTTGTTCAGAACTGTTCGTTTCCATGTTATTCGCGGTTTTCCTCTCGTTCTTCTTGCGTTTTCTGGCTTCCATTCAATGGTGGTATTTGGCATTCTTTTTCCATTCTCAGCACATGTCCCAGCCACTGATGTCTTTTGTAGATTATTTGTGAGAGGGTGCCTTGTCCAGTAATTTTTTTGACTTCATTTGTTTTCCTATCTCTATGTGTTATTCCCAATATTCTTCTCAGACATTTGTG